TGGGAGATACAAGAAAAGAAAGTGGTAGTAAGTAGGTGATTACCTGCAGAATTGAGGTTGGTAGAGGATGCTGTGAGGACAGAGGTCTGAGTGTCTTATCTCAGGGGATTGGGGACTAGAGAGGGAGTTTATGAGGGCTTCACAATAGAGGTAAATCCTTAGTCCTCTACTATGAAACCCTAGCTTAGTTTCTGGATACAACCTTAGATAAAAATTAGGGAATATGAAACTATCAAAAATTGATATATTATATCTTTCATTTAGATGATGAGAATATATATCATAAGGTTAGTGACATTTACTGTTAATAAGGAGTCCATGGATGGTGCAGACAGTCAATGTGCTCAGCTGCTAACCAAAAAGTTGGAAGTTCAAGTCCACACAGAAGCTCCTGGGAAGAAAGTTCGACTTCAGGACACTCAGCCACTGAAGCTCTATGGAGCACAGTTCTCCTCTGACACATGGAGTTGACCTTGTGGCAGTTGGTTGGTGCTCTTGTTCTGTTCATTCTGTTCCCACTCAGAGCTGCCCAGTGGTGAGTTTCCAAGGCTGTAAATCTTTACTGCAGCAGAAAAACATATCTTTCTTCCTTGAAACACATCTGATGGATTCAAAATGCTGACCTCGCAGCTAGCAGCATAACACATAACCCACTCTGCCACCAGGGCAACAAGTGGTTGCCATTTATAGAACACTTACTGTCTGGTAAGCATTTCATTGACAGCATAGCATCTAATTCTTACAGCTCCTCTTGTGAAATGGATAGTAGTATTATCTCCATTGTATAAATTAATGAAACTGTGGCTCAGAGAGGTTGACTGACATGCCCAAGAGCACACAGCCAAGACGCTGTAGAGCTAGGACTCAAACTTGGGTGCATTTGTCACCACAGCCACTTTGTCTCATTCCATATACCCTTCCTTTCTTATGTCACTGCATTCTCACAACCAACCCACCCTCTAAGGCTGGGGTTTGCCAGGAATTCTCCATCCTCCATCCTCCTGACAAAATGCTGGCGTTTGGTTTCCAGTTAATTCAATGTAACCTCTTTTGTCACTTCTTTAAGAGGTACTGTTTTTGACTTCAAGTGTGTGTGTTTCAGATCTAATTTGGACTTACTCCTTGGCCTTGGACAGCCTTTTTTTTTTTAATGTTTTATTATGAATTATATGATAGTTTACATGAGACAACTTTAGTTTTATATTCATTCCATCGTATATCGTTTCATTGCCATGGTTCCAATCCCCTCCATGCATCATCAAC